TCCATGTGTATATTCATCTCTTATGCTGCCTAAAGAAGGTATTTGTAATGAACAAATCATTGATTTTGCAGAATTCTATCATGCATTCCCCAGCATCATTTCTATCACCAAGGCCATATTTTCCAACTACTGATCCTTGCTCTTTGCTCCCAAACTTTGCATTCCAATCACCAATAATGATCAATGCATTTTGTTTGCATGTTTGATGAATTTCAGATTGAAGAAGTTGGTAGAATTCTTCTATCTCATCCTCACTGGCTTTAATGGTTGGTGTATAAATTTGAATAGTAGTGGTATTAACTGGGCTTCACTATAGGTGCATGGATATTATCCTATCACAGACAGTGTTGTACCTCATGACTGATCTGGATATGTTCTTTTTGAACACCATTCCTCTTCAATTTGTCATTTCCGGCATAGTAAACCATGTGGTCATCAGATTCAAAATGGCCAATACCAGTTCATTTCAGCTCACTAATGCCTAATATATTGATGTTTATGCATTCCATTTCATTTTTGACAACCTCCAAGTATCTCAGATTCATACTTCGTACATTCTATGTTCCTGTTTTCAATGGATGTTTGCAGCTGCTTCTCTTCATTTTGAGTTGTGCCCCATCAGCAAATGAAGGTCCTGCAGGCTTTTCTCCCACAGGCTTTACTCCAGTCACATCATCACGGACAACTCTACTTTGGGGAAGTAGCTCTTCCCCTGTTGCATTTTGAGTGTCTTCCAACCTGGGGGGCTCATTTTCTGGCACTATATCTGACAGTGTTTCTCTGCTACTCATGAAGTTTTCAGTGACTAAACTTTCGGAAGTAGTTCATTACTCCTTCTTCCTAGTCTGTCTTCATCTGGAAGCTCATCTGAAACCTGTATAGCTTTCAGAATCACAGCAACTCACAAGCCACCACAGTACGACCAACTGACAGACGAGTGGTGGCCAACTCATAGAGAGCCTGTGAAAGCCTGGAATCTATGCCTTTAAGAATTCTAGTTTCTAACCAGGAGAAGAAAGAAGAGGAAAAAAAAAAAAAAAATGAGTTTGCTGATTCAATCTGATGAACTTGATCTATACCTATGGATGCAGTGACTCAAAAGAACGAACAAATCCTTACAGCAAGAATCATTCCCATCCCCTCCACACACA